CATGCACATCATATATGTGTAAATCTACACAAAAATTAAAATGATATTGTCTGGAAATATTTATTTTGGTTTGGGTTTCTATTGCAATCAAAAATCAAGTTGGGGAGGAAAGAGTTTAGTTGGCTTCCACTTCCATATCACTGTTCATCATCAAAGGAGTCAAGACAAGAACTCAAACAGGGGAAGAACCAGCACAAACTGATGTAGAGGCCATGGAGGGTGCTGCTTACTGGCTTGCTCCCTATGGCTTGCTCAGCCTGCTTTCTTACAGAACCTAGGACCACCAGCCCAGAGATGGCACCATCCACAATGGGCTCGGCCCTCCCCATTGATCACTAATTAAGAAAATAAAATGCCTTACAGCTGGATCTTATGGAAGCATTTCCTCAATGGAGGCTCCTTCCTCCTTGATGACTCTAGCTGTGTCTAGTTGACATAAAACTATCCAGCACAACACTAATATATTAATTTTAACTAACATTTATTGCCAATTATGGGAGCAAATTACCTGGGGGAGTGCACATCAAACATTCCATGTATAAAAATATATAGGAGGAATTCACTCGATAAAGTACATGAAAAATACACATTTTCTATGAGGCTGCTTACAATTTTAAATACTGACACAGCCTTTGCTCTGGCACCCCAGTCCTCAAGCAGAATGCCCACATCTGAGTGCCACCCCTACACTACAGCATAGGCTGTTAGCCTTTATTATCTCTCAGAGTCAGAAACCAGGTTTTCTCTGCCAAGAGAACTGGCCCTTCCTATGGGCACAGGACAGCAATCAGATGCCTGCTGCTTCTGCCTCCAATTCCAAAATCTATTAGAGTACAGCTTACATTTTCTTTTCATGTCTTCTCCACTTGGGTTAGATTTGAAACAGAAGTGATTAAAAAGCAGCTTGTGAGAAGTGGAGCAGTAGGGCCCATGGTGCAGCTGTGATTTGCCAGGCCTGGGCCTGATGTCCTTGAACATAGACATTTTCATTCAGGTTAGTAAAGAATGTAGTTGGAGCAGGGATTGCAGCAACATGGAGCCCAGAGACAAGAAGCATGACATAAGAGACAGAGAGCCATGACTGTATTCCATGGTAGGAAAGTGAGCCAATGCAACACCCTTGTTACACAGCCAGGCAAACATTTGTGGTTCTAGCTTGGCCAGTGTGGACTCAGCCAAGGATCCAAGCATTTCTTGTCTGCTGGGCTTTGATGCATGTGGACTTGCCTTTTACCAGTTTCTGGATCTCCTGTGAGGATTCATTCCTTGGTGCACAATTTGGGTCCTGCTTTATGAAATTGCTACCTTATATATGTTTTTTTCCCTAGATTAGAACTAAACTCCTTCATGAAAATTGCAAGTGACTAATAAGCTTGGAGAGTGACTGTCAGTGTGTCGTTCTGCAGAAAGGCAGGCAACGCAATCATGGAAACCTCTGCCATGCATGAAAACCTTCTAGCATGGGCTCTGGAAACCCCTCCAGGCTTGGCTGAAAGTCACCACAGTGTCTGCAGCCAGCTCTCTCCGGCCTCCATCCACACTTGCTCTAAACTCCAAAATCAATATGTCACTCAAGACCTAGGAGGGGGTTCTTGTCATTGCCCACTATGTATATAGGCAGGGCATGGGCACTTGTACTTGTCATCATTTCCTGGTAACTCCAGTATTCTGCTGCTGGCATCCTAGCCATGCTGCCTTCAGGCCTTGTCTTCTTTTGAGTTGGTGTTGGCCTGGCCATGACTGTGTTCCATGGTAGGAAAGTGAGCCAATGCAACACCCTTGTTACACAGCCAGGCAAACATTTGTGGTCCTAGAAATCATCATTTTTATACATTCTCCACGCTATGGATTCCTTTAAAGTAGGGGTTCTCTGCGAAATAATAACCCTTAGAGGAAGGTTTTGTTGAGGGGAAGGCAAAAAGAAAGCTGTTACTGGAGCTACTGGAGTCAAAGCCTGAGTCCTGACAGGTGTGAGCAGCATGCAGACACCGGTCTCTTAGCTGCAGCTTTGTCACTACACTGTATCTGACAAAGTACTACAAAGAAGGAAGGATTTATTTTGGCTCAAGTTCCACCATGGTGGAGAGAGCAGAGACAGCATGTCATGTGTCCATCATGGTAAAGAGCAGAGGCAGCTGGTCACACTGTGTCTGCAGCTGGGAAGCCAGGAGAGATGAATGCTGGTGTTCAGCTCACCCCTCCTTTTTTATTCAGTCTAGCACTCCAGTCCATGGGATGGTGCCTCTCACATTTAAGGTGGGTCTGAAGACCCATCTCAGTTAACACAACCTAGAAACTGTCTTGCAGACATCCCCAGACTTGCCTCTTCTACGGTCCCAGGTTCTGTCAAGTTGACTGTTGATAATGAGTGATGCTCTAGGAAAGCCGCCTGTAATCTCAAGAATGGCAGTGTCATAATAATGTTCTGAAAGAGGGGCCATCCTGAAAAGCGAATGTGTTTTTGTGGTTAGACAGTGGGAAGAAAGACCTTGGCACTAGTTTGGTCTCTGTGCTAATTTTTTATACAGCTTAAGAAAATGAACATTTTTCCCACGTGCTACACTATTGGCATGCTCCATCTGTAATGAAAGACAGTGACAAAGACAGGGATAAAACTGGCTTCAAAGCTGTCACCTGCTCCTCTGTGTAGTCACACTGATGTCGGCGCTAATTCACACCTCCCATCCCTCCTTTTACATATGGTCATATTGTTTTTTTTTTCCACAAAGATGTTGTGAGATCATTTTATGACCACCAGTCTGTCATACAATACTGGCCAAGGTCACAGTGGATGTGTTTGGCTCCCTCCTGATGGTCAGTTGACACTGTATGCACTCAGCAGCATGGCCTCCTAGAGAGGTCAGCTTCTAATTTTGCAGGCAAGACATAGGAGAGATCTCTTCACTCAGCATCTCCAACCATTTGCATGTGGAACAAATAGATTCTGCTCCCTACTGAGAGCCAGTCATGGCAGAGCAGGAACTCACTTTTATCCACCTCCACTCTTCCCTCCCACAGCATTGAGAGCACAAAGATTAGTGTCACATGTCACATACCACATAGGGATGTGTGGTTCAAGGATGAACCACATAGCCGGTGATGGCCCTGTAAGATAAAACTGCTTAGACATGTTTGTGTAAACACAGGAGACAATGTCCACTAAGTAATAAAATCAGCTAACAAAATATTTCTCAAAGCATCCCCATAGTTAAGCTATGTGTGGCTGCCACCTCTCCCATTAGCTTTGCTTTCTAAGAGTTTTTTCTTTTGTTGTTTTTTCAAAAATTCTTTTTGTTAATAAAACAGAACGGGCTTCATTAAAGTATTTTCAGACATGTGTCATCACACTTTGTTTTCAACCATTTGCCTCCCCTGATGGGGGATGTCCTTCTGTATATATGTTTCTCTTATTGGTTGACGAATAAAACACTAATTGGTCAGTAACCAGGCAGGAAGTATAGGCATGGAAACCAGATGAGGAGAATTCTGGGAGAAGAAGGCAGAGACAAGCCGATAAAGAAACGCCATGTTGCCAAAGGAGTAACATGCTGGACTACAGGTAAGTCACAGCCTCATGACAATACATAGTTTAATAGAAATGGGCTAATAATTAAGAGAGACCTAGCCAGTAAAAAGCCTAAGTCATTGGCCAAACAATTTGTATTTAATATAAGTCTCTGTGCATTTATTTGGGGGGGGGGGGTAAAAGGCAGTGGGACCAGGTGGAAAAGAAACTCCATCTCCATTCCCCATCTGCCCTCTCCTGTGCCTCACCCACTCTGCCTGCTTCCCTTTCTTCCCCCAAGTTTCTACTTCTACATGAATCCATTAGTCTCCCCTCACCTCCTGAGATCTCTTCCTCCCCTCTCATCCTTCCCTCTCTAATGTCATGACACTCACATATGCGCATGTGTGGCTGGAGAGGTGTCTCAACTGTTAAGAGCACTTGCTGTTCTTGCAGAGGACACAAGTTCACTGCCCAACATCCATGTCAGGTTGTGTACAACCACCTATAACTGCAGATCCAGGGGACCTGATGTCCTCTTCCGTCCTCCAAGCACACCTGCACTCATGCACAGACCAACCCTCCCAAATACGTACAAAACACACACACTCATAATTAAAATTTTTCATCTTTTAAAAAAGAAGGTAAATAAATGCACACATTCTCTCTCTCTCTCTCTCTCTCTCTCTCTCTCTCTCTCTCTCTCTGTTGTGTAACATTTTAAATCTAGGGTTGTGTGCATGGAAGAGAGCATGTGGTTTTTGTCATTCTGCTGTGATAAGTTTAACTTAGCATAACAATCTCTAGTCTCCCCCACCACACAACCCAACCCAACACAAACATTTTATATTGGTTTCTGGATGGGCAGAATCTGCTCTCTTCACTTCAGAACATTTCCCTTTTTTTCTTTTTTTCTGTGCCTTGTCAGGTTGGATTGGGAGCTTGCTATCACAATGTAGTAAGTCATTACTCCTTCAAGTTCAATCCAAAAGTGTAGGGGGCGAGCCTGTCTGAGGAAGAAGAAATGCAATCCCACAGCTGACAGTGAGATAATAGAATTCAAACATATTACCTTGATTCTGATTTTAAAAGTAAATGAGGCCAGAACAACACAGTGCCTCCTTTCTCTCTGATGTATTGTTTATCAACTGTCAGCTTGGAAGGCTTTTAATATGTGTTTTGAAGAGAGAAGCTCATTCAATATGCCTTTAAGTCAAAAGTAAACCTTAGTTTTCAGAAAGAAAAGATGTATAAGAAGGACTCCTGAGCTATCTATACTATTAATTAGATGTCTTTGGGCACGCAGGCACAAACACAACAGACACATTCACACACACACACACACACACACACACACACACACACACACACACCACACACATACATGTATACATAAGTATGTATGTGTATATATGTATAATTAAATAAACACACAAGCATGCATGCATGCATACACACTCATTTATCTGCAGTGCAGTGTGTTGGGATAGGAATAACTTTAATGTGATAATTAACCAGTCTCTTGTTCCAGAATTCAGTTAGAAGAGCAGGTAAAGACAGAGACAGGCTTTGCTGTTGTTTTTTGTTTGTAGTAGAAAAGAAGAGCTTGCCCCAGGGATGGTGATGGGCAGGAGTTAGTCACCAATGCAGCACTGCCATCCTAGGAGATGTACCCTAGGAGATGCACATGCACCCATTTACTCCATCTTCGGGGAGACTTTTGTGTCTTCCAGATAACCATCCCTCTATTTTGCAGCTGAGGATATCAGAATTAAGAAAGAGTGGCCAGGACCTCAGAGCCAAGCATGGCAGGCAGGGATGCACACCCAGATGGTCTCAGTTAAGACTCTGATGTAGAGTCTGAGCTCCATCTGTCTTTTGAATTAAATCACAGGTTCCAGCCTCCAATAGGGGAACAGCTTGTGTTGGCAAACCATTCTGTGGACAACAATGGCAAACACCAGATTAAATAGAAAACAGCTGTAGAAGATGCAAAGGATGCTGGGAGGAAAATAGGGTGATCCCAGAGAGGCTATGAGCAAGGAGGACTCTGCTGTTCCAAGACACATGCTCTTCGGCGTTTCCCCAAACACCTTCCATATTTCCAAATCTGCAACAGATGGAACTAAACAAGGAAGATACACTCAGAGGTTGGAAATAAACTGAAACAGAAAAAAAAAGGATAAAAAGGGGAGGCCCACATTCTGAATGACCCCTGAACTCTGTGCTTCTGAACAAGATGCCACATAAACCGGGGAGACCATAAGCAGTGCCTATGGGAAATCTAAGGACCATTTTCCAAAGATCAAGTGTGTCAGTCAGTGTCCGCCACTGTAGCAACACACCTGAGCGGATCCGCTTACAAAAAGAAAAGCCTTGTGGGGCTCATAGTTTGGGAGGTTCCAGGCCTGAGTTAGCTGTCTCTGTTGTTTTCAGGTCTGTGACAAGGCAGCATGTTACAGCTGGATCGCATGATGTAGCATGTGACAGAACCTGCATTTCCCTTCCTTCTAATGGAAGGACAAAGGCCTTCAAAAGTTCATCTCCAATGACCCGCAGATCTCCCAGGCCATGCTCCTTACAGACCCCACTCACCCTATCAGATCAAAATGGTAGTAGAGATGACTCAGATCAAGGTTGGAAGGATAAGGACCCAAGCAAGTCCTGCAGCTCCTCTGGGGTGTAGGGAAGGCAACAGACCAGATCTGCCAGAGAATCTGTCAGCACCCCTGAATTTTTAGCTTAGTGCCTAGATCATCAGGGGAACCACCCAGGAGAGTATAGACGAAGAACCATCTTTGAGCAGGCAGGGTGGGCTGGGATGTAAGAGCTAAGTAGTTAATCTTCAGAAATGTTGGCTCATGTCTCTAGGGACTACCTAAGAATGAGCATGTGACCCACCGAAGAGCCATGACCTTCAGAAGCCTCATCTAACCTACTGTACCAGCTACATCAGTCTGTGCTCGGCACATACTCAAAGCCATCCACTGAGGGACTTTCTCATTTAAACACCTCTCTGCCTAAATGAAACACATTTGGGGTAGAAATCTCCATCCACTATTTAAGGGGTTTCTGACACTGTCGCTGCCAAGCTCACCCAGACGCTCGATGTGTAAATGCAGATAATTCAGCTTCAACATCTGCCTCCTGTGAAGCTCTGAGGCTTCCCTAGGTTCAGAACTTGCTCTCAACCTCAAACGAATAGCATAGACTCAGCCAGAGAACTGCGACAGGCAGCAGGGAGGTGACTGGGGCAGGTGGCTTTTCCAGAGATGCTCCCTAGCCAGACTGACAGGTCTCCTATGTCCCTCTCAGGCCAGCTAAGGGCCTCCTCCCTCTCGCCTGCCACCCAGACACCACAGCCTCACAGAGGCCCATTTGCTTCTTGTCAAGGCAGGAGGCTCTTTGGTGACAGAATTTCTTAGTTTAGTCATCTTTGGGAAGAATCCTGTTACATTGCACACTGCACAGAGCATAGGAAGAGATTCATAAATGAGAACCGAAAAGCAGAAAGAGAGAAAAGAAAGATGGCATGAGGGAGAGAGAAAAGAAGGAAAGGCAAGATCAGAGGGAAAAGGAAGAAAGAATGGCAGCAGGTGGGGGAGGGGGGAGTTAGAGGGAAGGAAAAAGACAAAGACAAAGACAAAAAATAACAGAAGCTGTAATGCGACCAGGATTAAATTCTCTTAATGGGAGGTGAGACCTCTGTGTAGTGACCTTGCAGAGTTCTCTGTGTCGTTTGCCAGAGCTGACTTGAGCAGCATCCATTGTCTTCTGTTTCCCAGCATCCCATCTCTTCTATCCCCCACCATCTGTTTCCCCATTTCTTCTATTTCTATTCCCCATTTCTTCTATTTCTCTAGTGCCTCATTTCCCTTGTGAAGCTTCTCTGGGCATCATGGGCAGTAAAGGTCAATGCCTTTCAGGTATCTGTGACCTTGCTTGAGAAGGGAGAGGCTCGGGTGACAACAGCACACTGTCAGGGCCTCTAAACAAGCAGCACTTTGTAAAAAGTGGCCATCATTTCTCAGTGTCTAAACAGACCTGTCGGTCACTTCAAGGACAGTTGTCAGCTTGTTGGAAGTGTGTAGGACTTGAGAACCTACGTCGAATTGAAACACTATTTGTGACACAGTCATTGAAACTGCCACAGCATGTGTGTACACTCCATCCTCTGGTATAGCTTCCCAGCAGATAGCCAGGTGACTGCCAATAAGGAATATGTTCTCACCTCAAAGATGGATTCAGGTTACCCCAAAGTCACTCTTGACAGCCTGATGAGTTTTCTTCATCCTTTAGGGACCTCGATTCAGGCCAGTTCAGGGTTCGTGGCTTTGATGCAAAAAAAAGAATTTAAGACTAGCTGGTTTATGAAGCAGAGCTGGAATTTGTTTTTTGAGATTTTGAGATTACAATATGATTATATAATTTCCCTTCCTCTTTCCTCCCTCCAACTCCCCCTGCCAAACTCCCCATTCTCTTTCAAATTCATGACCTCTTTTTAAAAAATTGTCATTATATACATATGCATATATACATATATATATATATATAAATACATAAATACAGTCTGCAAAATACAGATAATGTTACTTGTATGTACATGTTTTTAAAGCTGACCATTTGATATTAAATAGCTAGTCGGTGTTTTCTTCCTTGGGGAAGACTATTTCTCCTGTTCTCGGCTGCCTGTAGCTCTTTGTGTAAGGGTTGAGGCCTCCTGGGCTTTCCTCCATCCACTTGAGCACATCTTCTGTTGTTTGTGTTCAGTTCATATTTATTCTGTCATGTTGCTGAGACTTTATGAGTGTAGCCTCTGCCACTACTAAGAGACACAATCTCACATCAAACTTCTGGTCCCTCTGGCTCTTACAATATTTCCACCCCATTTTCTGCAATGATTCCTGAGCCTTACATGCAAGAGATGTTTTGTTGATGTTGGGACTGGGGGCACTCCTCAGCTCTGCATTTTGATTAGTTGTGCTTTTCTATAATGGTCTGGATCTGTTGCAAAGAGGGGTTTTCTGAACAACGGATGATGCCTACACTTACTGTGGGTGTAAGGACAAGTATTTAGAATGTAGTCAGGGAATAGGCTGGTTTAGTAAAGTAGTGGATTGTCCTCCACCCTGATTTCACTAGCCCTAGGTATGTTTCCAGTACCAGGCATAATTTCCCTCTTTTTGAACAGACCTTAAACCCAATTAGGGAACTGTTGGTTACTGCCAAAGCACGCATGCCACTACTGCACCCTTAGGATCATCATGCCACGCTAGTTGTTGTTGTGGTTCATAGACATCATGGCTGGGTAGGACTGTGGGTGCTTCCATCCTTTGGAAGCTTGCATAGGGACTTCTGGTAACATGGAAATCTAGAGATTTTTATTAAAGGTATTTTAACTCAGACATTCAGTGTTAGGGTTAAGAGAAAGAGAGGCACTCAAAAAAAAAAGTTAGACATGCCCAAGTATGGGGATGTACTCCTCAAGGGGGAACTGGAATTGGCTTTAGTCAGTCATGTATACTATTTTGGTGGTTCTCAAGCTACATCTCAAAAGTTGCTGAGAATTTTTTTCTTTTTTTTCTCTTTTGGTAATCAAGATTATAGGGTGGATCCAGAGATGCCTTGGATGGAATTATAATATGACAATGTAAAATAAGGGGTCAATAGAATTGCACAGGGGGTTGAGGGCATGTCCTTTACCTGTACATGGGATTTCTGGGTGAAATTCCTGGAAAACTGTAGGCTTGCAGCTGGAAGAGAGAAAGGACCACAGCAGCTGTTAGTCATGCTAGAATTTTGGCTTCTTTGCTGATGAAAGGCTTCAGCCAGCTCCCAAGATGAGGGACTCCTTTTCTTTCTCATGGCCCCATGATTTCCTTCATTTATTCTGGTCTCATCCTGACAAATTGTCTGAGTTGTGTGAAATCTTTTTCTGGGAGCCAAGCTCCTTTTCTGGCTGATACCAAGCTTTAATCTTTGCCTTCTCCCAATACAAGATTCCCCAGAGAAATTCATGTTTCCTGGGGACTGTTATTTCAACAATTCAATAGCCGGGGTGTGTTAAGGACACAGGTGTGTCTTTAGAATATCATCATTCCTATTTGAACTGTTACCCTATGGGAGGCAGAATTTCACAGTGTTGTAAGGTATAATATCTGGGTGTTCAGATCTGAATCTGTCTCTATCACTTGTTAACAATATGTGACTGGACAAGGTGTTAAGTTGTATACCTCACTTGGGACAGGTGGACAACAATAACACTTGTCTGTACAATCATTCTCAAGGTCACAAAAGATAGCAAAATATGGATGCTTAGAACAACACAAGTATATGTTACATGGTGATATGCAAACAGCTGTTGTCCCAAGTACACAGAGCAGAGTGCAGCATGAAAAACTGAGCTGAGCGGATGGTGTGGAGGACAGTTAGGAAGCATCATTGCTAAAATGCACTGACTTCCAGGGATAGTTCAACCTCATTGTCAACTTCACAGAATCCAGAGCTGCCATGGAAACACAGCTCTAGATATAGCTATGAGAGCATCCCAGACAGGTTAACAGAGCACCCTGCATATGGGCAGCACCACCCATGGGTAGGAGCCCCTGAATACTTGCAAGGGAGAAAGTGAGGTGAACACCAATACGTTCCTCTCCTCAACTACACAGGAAATGTGGCCCTCTGCCTCACTCTCCTGCCCCCCCTTCCCTAGCATGATGGGCTATACTTTCAACCTGCAAACCCAGCTTAACTTCCTTCTTTAGTCATTTTTGCTAGGTATTTTGTCAGAGCAATGTGAAGAGGAACAAACACGACTTGTCACTTGAATCCACAACTAAATGATAAAAGCCTGGCATCTCTGCCTTCATCTTGTGTCTGTCTCCTTCATTTTGACTCAGACTCCTGCTGGATTCTGCCACCTACTTGTCATGTCTCCTCAAGGCTGAAGGCACAGAGAGAAGCCAATGTCCTTAACCTTACCTCTTGAGACAGCTCGGGTTCCAAGAACAGAAGGATAGGTCAATCAACATCTTTGTGACAAAGGACTGAAGCCACCTCTACGTGAGGAAGGTCAGGATAGACCCCTAGGATGAGAGCAGTGATCTGTGATGAAGATGATGAGCTCTACACAAGCATCACTCTCAGAGGATGACAGACATGAACACTCAAGCTTGCAAGACGGTGGCTGAGATACTGATGAATAGAACCACGCTTTGTCCAGGATGACTAATGTATACTCCAGTTCTTTCTATGTTTAAGCCTAAGCTCGTGTCTGTACCCCAAAGATAAACTTAGTCTCTGGGCTCCTTCATCTGTTCTTCTCAGTTGGCCCCACTGACTGATTCTCCACTCTCTGGTTTTCATCATTACTTCCTTTTTAAACTAGTATATTCAAGAGGTGGTTGAGTCTGGCTTGTTGGCGCTACATAGGCTAAGGTACCTGCCCTAAGATTACAGTTGAATCATGGGTCAGGCACAGAGAAAGATGTCATTCTCTACATTTTCCCAGAGTCCAGAGACTGTGGCCAACTGTCCAGAAGAGACCTGGCCTCCTCACAGGCTGGCACATTGAGGTGCTGTGGACTATAAGTATTCTGATGCCTTGAAATAACGATGTTCTTCCTTGTGCAAACAATACAGGCTGCCTCTTGTATTGGACCATATTCTGTCATGACTCCATTCCAGCCTCCAGATAATTTCTAAGAATAAATAGCGGGGTAGCTAGAGAATGCCAAAGCTCAGGTGTGTTCAGGGGGCCAATGGATTCTCACAATAAACAGGAGCAGGTACCTGCCAGAGTTTCATTTGGGTATTAAGTATCAGAATGTATGAGTAATTTTGGTAAGCAACCTTCAACTGCTTCCCTTAAGCCTGAAGGACACCATAGATGTGTCTAGAAGCTCATTGACTAACCACATTATCTGGCATGCAGACACTTCAACAACACAACACTGAAAGGGCCCAAATCCTGTGCAGAAAGATGCTGCATGCTTCTTCTTAGCTCTGTGCCTTTCACAGCAGAGGTTGGATGAAGCAAGGGAGATAATGGTGCCTCCTGGCTGAAGGCTTATTTTCCCCATTGAAACAGTGTCTGCAAAGGCAGGATAAGGAATGAGCTAGTGCAAGATTCTGAGCACAATGATAAATGCATGGCCCTGTGGGACCTCCACTCATCCATTCCACAAACACTTATTCAGTGGAGGCTACTCAAAAGACTGCATCCGTGCTCAGGGGCTTTGGGTTCTGCTGGCCAGATACTGAGCAGCTGAAAATAGCCCCTAGTAGAAGCAGCATCACTAACCTTGTAACTCTGAAGGGGGCTGTTCACTCACAGGACTCTCCCATGCTGCGGTGACAGTGTCCCTGGGGAATGGCTAACACACAGTTCTTTGGGCACATAATTGCCATTTTGTCAGATTTTGAAATAAATATGTGCACTGAAGGTCATGCAACTACTATGCCAGAAACACAGATGAACATGTTCGTGTCATCCCACAGTGTCAGAATTTATTGCATAACAAATTTGCAAGGGTCGATGATTTTTTTTTTGACAGCAATTTGCCACATGGTCTGTTTTTCCTTGACAATATGTCGAGGCAAACAGGGTGTTTAGAATTTCAATCTGTCCTGTTTTCTTCTGCTGTGATAAAACATCTTGACTAAAAAGCAATTTGGGGAGGAAAAGGTTTATTCACCTTACATATCATTACACATTATTTTCCCATCACAGTCTACACTGAGGGAAGTCAGGGCAGGAACTCAAGGCAGGGACACAATGGCAGAAACTGAAGCAGAGGCCCTGCAGGAAATTTGTTTATTAGTTTGCTTATTTGTGGCTTGCTCAGCTTGTTTTCTCATAGAACCCAAGACCACCTGCCCAGGTTTGGCACTGCCCCATGGTAGGTCTGGGCCCCTCTACACCAAGCAGCAATCAAGAAAATGCCACACAGGCATACCCACAGGCCAATCTGACAGAGACAATTACTCATTTGTGATTCTCTCTTCCCAGGTATGTATAAGAGTATATTAACTTGTCTAAAACTAACAATAATGAAAACTTAATTACTAATATTAACTCTCAGGTCACACATTACATATTTCACTATATATATATATATATATATATATATATATATATATATAGTGACAAAATGACTGACTACAAAGAGTTCTGAGACTGCAGCAGAGTTTAAGAGGTTTCTGAAGTCCCAAGAAACAGGGAAAGTGATAGACATGCAGATAGGGCCAGATGGGTGAGATAGCTGACCGCAGCAGCTGGAGAAACAGTCATAGCTACCTTAGAGTCACATACGGAGTGCTGGTTGAGCTGTGAAGTTGAATCCTATTGGGGAAGTGAAAGGTGAGGCTGGGTCTAGAGACAAATGAGTCCAGACAGGTCCACACAGATAAGCAGGAGGATGGACAAAGCAGTGGACAGACCACATCAACTTTCGGAACAAAGTCATGTGGAAGCCCTTGTGACTGCTGGGAATTCTCTGCCTGTTGATCCCTCGACTCACACCCAGGAGGTCAGATGATCCGTCACTGGGGGCAGCTGCCATCGTAGTACTAGCGGTGCATTTCTTCCTGGGTGCAGGTGAGGGAGTTACACCCTTCCCTTGGTGCATTGTGTCAACTACATATCGGGACCTGGGTTTCTTGATGTGGCTTTAATACACCCATGTATTCTGAGAGATTCAATTCACTTCAACAAATTTATAGGCTGGTGTGGGTAACACAACTCATGAAAGTTGTCTCTGACCTCCACACACACTGTGACAGGTACACTCACACAAATGAGTTTCAAAATAAAATTAAAGCAAAGAAAAATCTGAAAAAGAACTTAAGAGAAAGAATTTGTGATCTTTTGTCTAATAAAAGATTTTGTAGAAAAGACACCAAATGTATAATTCGTAAAAGAAGAAAGTTGTGAATTTTATCACAATTAAAACCTTACATTTTAACATGTTGGCTGTACTCAGGAGTATGAAAAAAGTCAGCCTTGTTTCATAAATGAGGATCTGGAAACTTCAAAATAATAGGAATGGGAAGACGTTATTCTGAGCAGAAAATGCAAGGGCTGTAGTTACGCTGTGTTGATGGGTATGTTTGTCAAAATCTACCACTTACAAGGAGTGACTCTAAGTGACACCTCAATAAACTGAAGTCTGGATTTAAAACGGAAGGATCTTAAGGTCAAGAAAGTTGAGCCAGGTGAACACAGTTTCCCAGACAGACTACTCCAAATGATAAAAGTGAAACTCAGCTCCAGGTTGAATGAGCATAGAGACTGGACTGGCTTCTTGGAGCCTAATCTTCCACTGAAATCATTCCATGGCCTGGGATTGACAGACACATGGATAGGCTCAGACTTCAAATAAAAGCTATTTGGATGGTTCTTCCTGTCAGCCTGGTCCCACAGCCTCGTGATCCCCCAAATAAACACACAGATGCTATATTAATTATGAAACTGTTGGCCAGTGGCTTGGGCTTCTTATTGGCTAGCTCTGTCTTAATTATTAACCCATTTCTATCAATCTATGTATTACTACGAGGCTGTGGCTTACCCGGTAATGCCCGGCATGGTGTTACTTCTTCAGCAGCATCGAGACTGTGTAGCGGGCTCACTCTGCTTGACTTTCCCAGAATTCTCGTCCTCCTAGTTCCACCTATTTTCATGCCTTATTGGCCAACAGTGTTTTATTCATCAACCAATAAGAGAAACATAAAGGTCTTCTCCCATCACCAGACTTGTGTTTGAAAATGTTGCCACATGATTCTAACACCCAGCCATCAACCTTCCAAAATGACACCTCGGACATGGGTGAGTGAGGAGGCCCTGCCCCACTGCACCCTGTCTGGTGCTGAAAATATTTAGTAAAGCAAGGTCTCCAGTGATTAGAATCACTCTGAAAACAAGTGTTGGGGCCATATAGATGCAGTGTTTCCAGAAAGATTGAACTATCTTTTTTGTTTTTGTTTTGTTTTGTTTTGTTTTTTGTTTTTCGAGACAGGGTTTCTCTGTGGCTTTGGAGGCTGCCCTGGAACTAGCTCTTGTAGACCAAGCTGGTCTAAAACTCAGAGAGATCCGCCTGCCTCTGCCTCCCAAGTGCTGGGATTAAAGGCGTGTGCCACCAATGCCTGGCAAGACTGAACTATCTTAAGAGGGAAGGTCCATGCTAAATGTGGGTGCCACCATGCCATGGGCTGAGGTTCTAGACTGAATATAATGGGGGAAAATAGGGAAATCAGTTGGTGACCAGAAGTCATCACTTTGTTTCCTAACAGTAGACACTGTGTGACTAGTCCCCTCGTGGTCCTGCCATCATGACTTCCCTGCAATGATGGACTATATCTCTACTCAAACTGAAAACTTAATTAAACTCATCTTTTCTTTAAATTGTTTTAGTCAGGTATTTTTGTCGTAACAATGAAAAAAGTAACCAATATACTCAACTCCTGCTACTCTGTGTAGCAAAGGCCAACCAGGAAGTGGTCCCAATCATCCAATGTGTTCAGAACTGGGCTCCATGTCCTGTCTACCATTGGTTTGGTCACTCGATGCTCCCCACTTTCCCGCTTCTTGAAGGACTGTGCCCATGCTCTCAGCACACAATGGCTGATTCTGCCTTTAGTATATTGTTGCTTCCAGCTAAGAGTAAATACTACCTGGATCACAGGGTGCCTGCAAACATCAAGGCTTTGCTTCACCTACAAACAAGGACAACTGCTTCATAAAACATACTGCTGTATTCAAGAAACCTTGGTTAATTTTGTTTTTCTTCTAGCCTACTGCCTGAAGAATATCCCCAGAAAGGGATATTTAACCTGGCCTTTCCCATCATAAGAAGATTCCATATCCATCAGCCAGATAGGCCAGGTTCCTAGCAACCTGACACTTTCTTCCTCTCCAGATCTGCTGCTTTTCCAGTGGTTCTTCTTGTTCCTTCTCTCTGGAGAAAGAATACCTTGGGGTGTTCATGATGCTACCTGTACCTGTCTGGGTTGCAGAGTGTCTGTGTGGATAGTGTGTGTTGTGGCCAATATTTCACTATGCTCCCTTTTCTCCATTTTGGAACAATAATGTATATCCTGTGCCATTATATGTTGGAAGTATGTGATCTGCTTCTTCATTGTTTTGCAGGGGATTACAGTTAAGAGATTGCACGAGTCTCAGAAGAGACTTTGAACTTTGGAATTTTAAGCAAATTTGAGACAATTATAGACTGTGCAGACTTGTGAAGTTAGACTGAATGCATTTCCGTATTATGGTATGGCTACAAGCCTAGGGGTGCCAGAAAGTGGAATATGGTGGTTTCGATAGGAATGGCCATGTAGATTCATATGTTTGAATACTTGGCCCATAGGGAGTGGCAGTATTAGGAAGTATGGCCTTATTGATGTAGGTGTGGCCTTGTTGGAAGAAGTGTGTCACTGTGGGACAGTTTTTGAGGTCCCATATACTCAAGTTACACTGTGGCTCATAGTCTCTTCCTGCTTCCTGTGAATCAAGATGTAGAACTCTCAGACACCTCTCCAGCACCATGTCTGCCTGCATGCTGCCATGCTTCTCACTGTAACAATATGGACTAAGCCTCTGAATCTGGAAGCCAGCCCCAATTAAATGTTTTCCTTTAGAAGAGTTGCTGTGGTCATGGTGTCTCTTTACAGCAATAGAAACCCTAACTAAGACAAGTCAGCAGCTAAGGTTTGTAATGTCTCTCAAAATGAACAGTCCCAGGATTTATGCATAGGTTACCCCCAAATGTTATTCAACACTACAGACTCAATTCTTGAAAAAATCTCTTAATCCAACCATTTTCTACAGAACTACTTAGTTTCTCAGTATCAGAATTTACAGAGGATTTTGTGCCCACACTATCCGTATTTGTATTTAGTGTGGTAGAGAATCATTGCAAGTGAAGACTGCTGATAATTACTGAGTGTCTCCGGTTGTCAGCTGAGGGTGGAGGTGGAAGTGGGCAGCAATGAAATGCCTGGAGTACCTAGAAATAAACTCTTTATGTCACAGCTGGGCAGAGAGATAGAGCCCATGGAGAATGCTGTGTTTATCCCGATGTGTCCAGAGGGTGAGGGATGTTCTTGAAATGGGAACCTTAATGACCCCCCAGTGCAGAACCAGCTCACAGGGCAATTTTATAACTGCTGTGGACCCACCTCATTCACAGTGCTTTACAGCCTGGTCTGTACATCGTTACTGCCATGAGAGGTGTGGTAAGTAACTAAGAATCACTTCTGTGCTGGCTTTTAAAGGATGGTGGGAGCTAATGAGTCAGTCTGAGATCTCTGCAGTGGACTGGGAAGACACATAATCAGGTGTAAGTTTGATGACTTTCTCAGGAAATGGTATTTGATGCTCATGATACATAAGGATGTCTGTTAAAGAAATGCTTTCTAGGCCTCTAACTATCTCAGCAAAGCAAAAGGAAAACAACAACAACAACAACAAAAACCAATACTACTGAAGAGAATTCATCATTCCCAAGGCGATCAAGGAGCATCAGACAGACTGACTGACAGACAGCCCCTTCTCTGTCTTCTGTGAGCATTTAGTGGTGGAGGGGCTCTATGTTAGGATGCCCGACTGAAGACGAGGAGGGCTGTGGCTGGTAACAAGGTCCCGCAGGCAGTTCTCCACACCTCACAGAGTATCCCTGATGAACCAAGCCCTGTCCTTGCTAAACTTTGTTTTTATCATCCACAAAATGAGAGCACGTGTTTTGCATGTCTTGTGGAAAACATGAGAAAGGCAAACAGATCAAATAAATTTCTACAGCAAATTGCCCAGCAGACAGAACATGCTCACTGACCTCAGCCAAATACAAATGCAAGAAGAAATGAAAACAAATGCAAATGATAACTTTAGTGGTCCTGCAGTCCAGCCCAAGCCATCAGCACCAAGACAATGCCCTCTCCCTGTTCCTCTACCCTACCTCTCTCTCTGCTTCCTGTGTGTGTGGATAATAAAGATACACCCAACCAGTTTCTGCTCCTGCTACCATGCT